CAGCAATAAAACCTATCTTTTAAAAAAGATTTTATAATGAAGTATTTATTATTACTTTTAGCTAATCTAATAACATCTGAGAAATGTTACATTTATATTACATATAAATTGTAAATTTACCTAATTGGCCATAACACTATAAAAATAAAGAATTGTTTCCCTTTGTTTAGGATTAATAAACTTTTCCTCATAAAAACAAATACATGATTTTTTTTTTTTTTTTTTTTTTTAAGCGTTTCACACCAAGCAAGGTGAGAAGCCAGTAGGATGCAAGGGGTTACAGAAGATCAGATAGGAGGGATAGAAGAAAGGATGAGGAGAAGGGTAGTGGATAGATCAAGGCAACTGGAGATATTGAGTGACATTACATTTGAATAGCTGGGGATTATAGCTCTCAGGGAAACTGGAATAGGGAAGGGAGTTCCACAGGCGAGAGGTGCGAGACATGAAGCTATTGGAGTAGAAGAGGCGGCTACATTTAGGAGTTTCGACAGTGAAAGGGTGAGAGCGGGATGCCATCCTCGTAGGGTGCTTGAACTCATGAAGTCTGGGAACCAGCGAATGCAGCTCCTCGGAGCAATTGCCATGAAAGTATTTGTAAAACAGACAGAGAGAGGTGATGGCGTGTCTGTGAGAAAGTGACTGTAGACGAGATGCCAGAGCAGGGCCAATTATATTGCATATCCGCCTCTGGAGCCTATCACGAATCCCGAGATTTCTAAACAATATCTGTAAGATGAACTAATTTACTAATATGACCAATTTATTTCTCAGCTCCAAGTGCATTTTAATTTTTACCATCAATGTTTAACTCTACCAATAGTTAAAAAAAAAAAATAGTCAGTTTCTAAATTTTTGAAAATCAAAAATAACTTCTGTTTGTTCCGGTTTTTTTCTTTTTTCTGTCTGCAATTATCTCTACTTAGGTAATTACTAAGAGAGACTATATTTCATTTAAAACATTGTCTGTTGGAAATCAAAATTTATCTTCTAGAAAAATGCCAGGTCTAGTAATTGTTATTCTCACTTGAACTATTATTATTATTATTGCTATCAATGTCACCACCATAAGTGGGGGAAAAAAAAACAAGTTGTTTCACTCTGTATTTGTAAACTATTCAGAAAACATATGGTGCTTCAGATGAGATAAAAATAGGAATATCAAATGTAAAATCATTTTAATAAAACACAATTTCCTACTGCTACTTATTTCTTTCCTATCATTATTTTCATTATCTAATTAATACTTAGCCATGCTATTGTTTTTACTATTACTGTTCATACTTTTACTCTGTCTACTGCAATCATTTTTTGGGATAAACATCTTGACTCTTTTGGATGGAGCTTTACGTCTACAAATAGATAGTTTAGGTTCAATGCCATGGGTTAGCATCTCAAGAAAATATTTCTAACTACAGGTATGTTGTAGCCATTATTTAGATAAGTATTCTCAGCCTTGTTTTTATCACAGAAATTCTTAGATGTTTGTTGCCCCTTGTGTGTGTCTTGTTTTTAAATCTTAGCACTTCAATATAAATAGTTCCAAGCATCAAATCCTTAAACTGACACAGGAAATCCTGGAATTGAACTGAAGAATTGCTTCTCAAAATAAAAATCGGAAATATTAGTCCAGATAATTTATGGAATGACATAATCATTTTAGAATTATGTTGGTTATTAGTCTATTAGTTATGTATAAAATATTACTTGATACTTTTGTTGACTTTTTCCCTGCTAAATATTTCATCTGATTAACTTATTGTGTCATGATAATTACATAAAAAAATTGACTTGTACAGTGAAAGTTTTTATAAGTTTATATCTAGTTGAGTAATAATCAACTCTGAAATTCAATTTCTTCATTTAATCTGATTTTCTTTTTCTACTTCCTGAAAATTCAGACCATTTTTTTCATTATCTATGATAAATCAAAAATTACAAATATCATAAATAATGGAGGTTGTCTCTTCATCATAGAATTTCTCTAAATATATTTCAGCTTATTTTTTTTAAATAATTTATACAATTTTTACAGAATTAAAAGGATTACATCTATTTTTATAACACCGCCAATAATTACAAGTTCAGTGCAGTGGTTAGAGCATTGGGCACAGGCCAAGAGCTTTAATGTATTTCTTAACCTTAAAAGAAACTCATTTGATTCAAGTAAAGAGTACTTTATTACCAGTACTTTAAAAATCCATAATATTAGCATATCATCAAACATATAAATATGTAAATATAAAAGTGAACATTGAAGTCAACACTCAGAGGTGACAGGCTGTTTCATGCTGGATGCAATAGTCAGGCCACCTGGCAATTCCATCCATCATGAAACAGCCTGTTGCCTCTGAGTGTTGACTTCACACATATATATATATATATATATATATATATATATATATATATATATATACAGTTGTGAACAGAATTATTCACCCCCACTGATTATTTCCATATTTTCTATGGAAATGCAAATATTTGCAAGTACTTACTGAATTTAGCATAAATAGTTGATTCTATATTTAGTTTTGAATAATTTGTGAAATTTTTAGAAGCTTTGATCTATTATATTCATAGTTATTGATTTTTCAAAAAATTGGTGTAGATAGATTCAAAGGACCTAACTCATGAATGATGAAATCCATTTTTTGACAGGAGATGAAACTCTCCTCTCTCCCCCACCCCCACTAAGAAATATATTTGCAAACCAACTGTAAAAATGAAATAAAATAAACAAAAGTTTTTCCCACTCCAGATCTGATGACTCAGACTTTCATGGCTTTGATGATATTTAAACGGATTTACTTTTTTCTATATTTTCAAAATATTATTATTATTATAAAAGAAATTGCCATGTGTGTCTTATATATTACTCCTTTGAAATATATTTGGCAAAGTAATTTTGTTTGATAAAAGTTTTATTGCTTAGATATATAATGAAAAACATGGTTGTTGATTCCACAGATGGTGAGGCCCTTCTGTTTCTGTCTGTGCATGTTTTATGGTTGTCTACAATTCCATGAACTTATCTCTTGACAGATCTTTTCAAATTGTATATATAATGTGTGTGGAGATAATGACAAAGTGGAAAAGCTTAAAAGCAAAACAGATTTCTAAAATTAGAGATGCTTTTTTTTTTGCTTCCATATGGTAGTCATGTTCAGGTTAAAATGAAAGATATGTGTAAAGAAAGTGCATAAATAGCTTTACAGCCAGAAAGTGCATTTTCTTTTTCACATTGAAGCCATTAATGTCTGCTGGATTTGAAATCAGCCCATTCTGATTAGATCTGTTTTTTCTCTCTAGTAGTTTGTATGCCGCATTGTGCTATTATTGATTTTTGCATTGATTGGTGATATTGTGTATGTCTCTTCACTTTTGGTAGGATACTGTTCTACATCCTACTAACACCTGTGTGTGTGTGTGTATATATATATATATATATATATATATATTACATCATTTATAACTGATTCATATAATTGTTCTTTATGCATACATTCAAGAATAAATAATTTAAGAAATATATCTTGTTTTTTAAATTTAAATTTCATAAATGTAATTTTTATTAGAATTGATAAAAGCAATGTATGCAGTTATTTCTCCAATGTTTATAGAATGGAATAAGATATAAATATAAACAAATCGTAGCATTCTTCAATGTTATTAAGGAATGTTAGAGATTTCTAAAAAAACACTTGTTTCTTCACACACACACATTTATTTTAAAATGTTAACTATTATTTTTATTAAAATAATACTTTAATATTCTAGTAGTAGTAGTAAATAATCTGAAATTGTCCATATTCCTTAATGTAGCATTTTCTTTATCTTATTTTTATGTCTTTTATCATAACATTCAAATTGTTTTAGATTCTCCAATGATTAAACAAGCATTATAGTTTGGAAATCAACTAGTAACTTACAATGAAATTTGAATTCACATCATGTATCCTTGGAAGACCATCAGCCATGTATAATACTTTATCAATTTGTCTTTAGAAACCCACTAACAGACAGAATTCAAATTAAGTTATTGTCACATTCTTTTTCATCTAATTTCCTCCCTACTATATTGTTTGTGTAAAAGCAATAACTTGAAAGATAAACTAGCCCAAAATTAATGATAATTTCATAGTTTGCTCTCTTTTAGGAAATATTCTCACAATTCGTTTAAATAATAATAATTAATTCTTGATGAAAAATTTAAAAAAAAAACAATTTCCAAGCTGCTTGTAGTTAATTTTACAAATTTATTACTTGTCCAAGATTACTTGAAAATGAATTTTCTATGTGCCATGTCCCTCCAGAATGTTGGTGATCATGGTTCTTTCTGTCCTTTATAGCTCTTAAGAAATTTTGACTTTTTAATCCTGTTCTGTTATCTATTTACACAAGCTCATTAGGAAGATTATGCATTGTGTTCCTCTGTTTCTCTTTTCAGTCTGTCTTGTGAATATCAAATTTTCCAAACCCTCTTTCCTCATTATGTACCCAAGAAATTTCAATTACTTCTTTCTGATGTTAGGTATAACTGTTCTTTTTGTTTCCATTTTTTCTAAACTATATATTCTGTCTTCTGACAATTGGTGCTTAGTCCTTTCTTCTCACTTTCCTTCACTACCTTATGTAGGAGTTCTTGTAGATTTTTTTCTATGTCTGCTATCAACACTGTGTCATCTGCATATCTTGTTAAGATTACTGCTGCTAATAAGGAATCCTAGTAGGACTTCTAATTCTCTCAGAATTGCCTCACTATATAAGTTGAATAAGTTTGAAGAGAAGACACATTCTTGTCTTATACCCCTTTCTATTCTTGTATATTTACTTAATTTATTTTCTCTCCATATGCTTCTGTGCATTATGTGCTGCTAATATAGGTTCTGTATTATTCTAATATCCTTCTCAAATACGTCAAATCTGCCTAGCAATTCCAACAGTTCTTTGTGATGTACCTTATCAATGGCAAGGTTTAATTTTGTTTTTGTTTATTTCAGGTGATGCTAGCCCGCCACAAGACAGAAGGGAACATCTATGCCATCAAAGTACTTCAGAAGAAAGCTGTAATGAAAAGGAATGAAGTCAGGCACATCATGTCAGAGAGAAATGTTCTTGTGCAGAATGTTAAACATCCATTCCTTGTCGGACTACATTACTCCTTCCAAACTCCAGACAAACTCTATTTTGTTCTTGACTATGTCAATGGTGGAGAGGTAAGAAAAACATTTTTTTTTCCTACTTGCTTTGCCTTTTGTGTGTGGGGAGGGTATTTCTAGTTTCTGTGCCACTAATTGTTGATTGAGTAACCTACTTTATGAGTTTGAGGGAATGGATGGCAGTGTGAGTACAAAAAATAAACCGTTGCACACATTTGCTATTTTTTATTGATTTTTAAGTGCATATTTAAAACCTCTCTATATTGCTTGTCCGTAAATTGAATCTGTTCATTTTACATGCATGCATGCCCAATTAGGACCAGTCACATAAATCTGTATTTTTTTTTTTCTTAAATTCCATGTCCCTTCAGGATATAGCCATTCATGACTCCACAGATTCCTTTTTCTTTATTATCTGTGATTTGCTTCTGGTCTTCTTTAGAAGGAGTCTGTTGTTTTAAATATTATTGAAAGAAAGTGATATGAATATCAGTCCAAACCAACTGCATACAATATTTGATTAAAATACCTTGTCTGACAGAAGTCAGAGAAGAGCAAGGAAAAAACAGCAAATGTATTATGTCTAACAAGAATTTATAATAATCAAATTGTATGTTTTTATTGAAGCCTTTCTGCAATGTATGTCAATATTTTAAACTTCAAAGCTAACAGAAAGAACAATCTAATACATGTAATATCTCAGAGTTGAATACTTTTCTTATGAAAAGGTTATGGTCAACCTTAAGCAAATATATCTGTTACTATCAAAAGATCCAAAATTATATATATATATGTGTGTGTGTGTGTGTGTTTGTGTGAAAATTGAAAGTTTGAATCTGCCTAAAAATATGTTCTGGCATAACATCAAAATTTATCTTTGAGTCAGGATTCCATAAACTGGAACATTTTTACCTGAACAGAGACAAAAAAAAAGTATTCATTTACAAGACAATTTCCTGTTTAGGGCTGAAATATCTTTGATTTTTGTGTGATTCCCCACTTATTACACCAAAATCTGTCTGTGGCAAAAAAAAAAGTAAGACTGTAAAGTTATAGATTGAACCAATAATACTACTTTCCTATTGTCTTATCACTCCTGCTTAAATTACAATATCTTCACCTGGGCTTTATATGTGTTTATAATCCAGGCAATTACTGATTGCTGCAGGCAAAGAATATGGCACTCTTGAGAATTAAAAGCATCATTGCAAATCATTCTAGCTAAATAGATGAATACCTGGGTTGGCCATGTATGAGAGAGGTCACATGATCGCTGTTAGTTAATCTGAAAACATTACACACATGTATAAGGTGAAGTCCTCCAGCTTTGGTTTGTGATTTCAATAGAGGGTTTCTTGCTTTATACATGAATAAATATGGTATTTTATTAATATTTTTTATTCATTAATTTTGAAAAAGATAGACAAACAACTGTTTTAATGTTATATATTAATCTTCAATAGGTTAATTTTCTTTGATGTTAGTGTTTATAATATGAACTACTGAAGTAAAGGAATGTAAAAGTTTTACTTAGAATTAACATGAAAAATGATCACATGAAATACAGTTTCTGTATTGTAAAAAACCTCTGCTTATGAATTATTTTAGCTATTCTAGAATATAGTCTTTCAGAAAATGGAAATCTCTTAAAGACAATAATAATTATGAAATCTTTCTTGTAAATACTTTTAATTTTGATATAAAAAGTAAAATAATGCAAGATTTGTCAGAAGTTGCCATTATCTGAGCATTCATTTAGACTATCATTCTCATCTTTGTTGTTATGAACCCAATGTTTCAATTGGTGGATTCTCTAGTTTTCTTTGTGTTGCATTTGATGATCTTTTCATAATTCTGTTTCTAACTTTCATCTCCTCACTGAATCAAATGACAATCATTTATCTATCATTGTAAAATTTCACTATTCTTTCTTATTTGAATCAGTGAGGAAGTTAGTTAAAAAAAAAAAATAGAGATTAAAATATTAAAGATTACTGAATCAGGTACAAAAAATTAAATTTATCTTTAGCAAACAAAGGCCGACCAACAAAGACGGAATTACGCATGTACCTTCTAAGGTGCATTACGGGCGTCCGGCGATGATGAACGAAGGCCGGCCAACAACTTAGACGGAATTACACATTTACCTTCTAAGGCGCATTACGAGCATCCAGCGACAGTGAACAAAGGCCAGCGAACAACTTAGACAGATAAGATAATAACTGTAGGGATGCTCATTTAAATGTTCGGTCAAGTAACGTTAGTTGAAAGGATTCATTCTCACTCCCAGCCTCTTAATATTTTTTTCATTCTTGTTTCTATCTCTATGACTAATATTACTTTTATTATTTAACATTATTATTTTAACATTTCAACCTTTTGCCTGAATGTTATTTTGTCTTTTAAATATTCTGTACATCATTGCAAGTACCAGAATTTGCAAAACTTTACAACAGAAAAAAATGGGTAAAGATAGTTTGATGGATTTTTTAGAAAATTTGACACTTAGTTTTCTATAATGAATATATAAATTGATTAAATTTGAAGCTGCTTATTTTCCTACACACACACACACACACACACACAATCTTCATTCATGTTAATTCATTTTTTAACATAACATTACAGAAAGTAGAATTCACATTTCTTTTTTAGGATGGTTCTTTGGAATTTTTGCCTTTTTAACTTTTTTAATCTGATTTTCTATTTCTTTACTTTTGTCAGTTATTCTTTCACTTACAACGTGAACGATTTTTCACCGAATCCAGAGCAAGGTTCTATTCTGCAGAAATGGCCAGTGCTCTTGGATATCTTCATTCCCTCAATATTATTTACAGGTTTGTATCTGAAGTTTTCTTTATTTTTTCTTTTTGTGTAATCCCTGATGCCACACAAGTCTTTCCTTTCATGTACTCTACAAAAGAATAACATGTAAAATGTACAAACTAAATATAAATTCATACAACTGATACAACAATAACAACAGAAGTGCTTCCAACAAAGCTCTCATCAGGTTTAAGGGTCATAATATCATTACTACTAACCTAAGGTACCCCAGCAGTACCTCTAAAAATAGCAAGCCTTGATTTCTACAATAAATGCAACTATTGAGAGTATGGGAATTTTAACAACTTCCACGTCAAGTCAGGCAAATGAAAAAGAAGAGACAACTGAACAGTTTAAAAAATATTTTATATATAACATATATATGAAAAACATGAAATGAGAGAGTTGCTAAAAAATGTGCTTTTAGCATGTATAGCCAAATATAGGGTTGATTCCAATACATTTCAATTAGCAATAGTTTGATACACTTTTATCATGCAAACAATAGTTGTTTGTCTTGGGGCCATCTGGAATGTTCAAATATATCCTCTCGAGAAGCAAGATTTCATGATCGTTTCTGGTTTGGGTGCTGATCCCTGTAGTCAGCTAAAAGTCATCTCTCTCCTTCAAGATCTTGAGCTGCACCTATCTTAGCATTCATGATTATGCACCAAATCATATTTGGCACAAAAACTGGGTTATACCTTTAAAAATAGATAATAGAATCTTCTAATTAAGTTATCTACAAGGGGAGATAACCTAATTTTTTATAAGAGGATTTCCTTGAAATAATGGGGTTTAGATAACTACTGTTAATATTGTAGGTAAATCATTTCTAAAACAAGACTACAAATTTTCTTTTGCTTTTTAATAGGATATGTTTAAAGTCTTGATATGTCATATGTAATTTTTAACTAATAAATACATTACATAAAATGAGAATTATTATTTCATAGGTTTTTCTGATTCACTTATAATAGACAGCTGTTACATTTGTGAAAAGTGTTTTTAATAAAGTTTCTAAATGGTAAAACTGGTAAATTAAAGTAATATCATACTTATACAAGAGTTAATTGATAAATAAGATTTCATACTCTGCTTGATATCACTAATAGTGATGATAGAAACATGTTTGAACATGTTAAAATGTGCTTAGTGTCAGCTGTGTGATGGCATTGTGTAATAGTATTTATTAATTAATACTATTACATATAAACAGTGATGAGTGATAGAATTTTGGACACTAGAAGGTTGCATGCCAATTTAAATTCAGACATGAAAGCAATGAAATCTTTCAAGTGCTCAAACAGCACATTTATAGATTAAGGCCTGTACCATGACAATGTAAGTCTGCCTAGCAGTGGCAAAAAATGGTGCAAAGCCTAAAATTTACAATTATTGCACACTCTCTATACAGCACAGTTTATCACCATACATTTTCTGTTTGTTCCCAAAAATGAAAAAGGCATTGAAAGATCAACATTTTTGTACAGTGCCAAAGTTGAATTTGCTTTTAAAAGAATTATAAAAATATGCAACACTAAATGGTGACTAAGTGGAAAAATAAACTTGTGATTTTGAAAAGAAAATAAATTTATTTCATTTTGATACCATTTTCATTATTCTATCTGGTAAGTAAAATTTCTTTTCATAGAATTGAAATTCTTACTTATCAAGCAATCTCATATTTAACAGATATTTGCTTTAAGGGTGAAAGAATGATAGTTGCTTGCAGCCAGTTTAGGGATTTTTTTTTCTCTGCTTTTGGTATTGTGTAACCCAATACTATCTACAGCATAGTAATTGGAATGATAAGTTCCACTAAGTAATTCTAGTTGTCCATTGAAATGCTATTAAAGACAAAAAGTAACTCATAACTGCCTCATCTAATATGGCACCTTAACAACTTCTTTCCAGTCATAACACAAATCAATAAAACTTTTCAAATTATATTCTTAGAAAATTCTTGCTTTTTTTTTTCCATTCCATTTTTACCACTAAAAAAAAGTCTGCTTAATGGATTAATAAAATTTGGTCTGAAAAACAAAATTGTTTATTGCTGAAATATTGACATTTTCTCTTACAGAGATCTCAAACCAGAGAATATTCTTTTGGATTCTCAGGTAGGTTAAAAGATTTACTTTTGTTTAATTTCATGCACACAACTTTGAGCATTTATCAACTCAATAAATGAAATTATAGACACCTGGCCAAGTGGTTAGAATATTTGCTTTCCAAACATGAGACTTGAGTTCAAATCTCATCATGGTTGGTCAGGAAGGTGACTTGAGGAGGTGATCCCAGCATATGTCACCTTTGGGAAGTGCTTGAAAAATACGCCATGAATTGACCTAAGCCTTGTGAGTGAAAACGGGTAGATGGAACTATTTTGGAGCTGTTGATGGTTGTGCTAACATGAAGTTACAAGTCATTGTGACCAAGGGTTTGCACGTACTGGCCTTGTTCAATCTGTTGATCATGCCATATAACGTTCTCTCTCCCAGAAACTAGAATTAAGGTTCATTCAACAGTAGTAAAAACCACAGGTGGGCTTTGTGGGTGTTGAACAAATGCAAATGTGCCTGAGCAGTTGTCTGCAATAGAGATTGGCTTATCACCCTAACAGACAGTGATACTTGGATATGAGCAGCCACAGCCATTACTAAATGAAATCAGCAAATCAAATTCTAATCAAATCTAATTTTTGAATTGACACTCTTGAAAACTCTGTAATCTTTCCAACATGTTCATCAATTATAAACTATAATAGTAGATATTCACAGTCAGATAGGGATTTTTGATTGTTAATAGTCCCATGTAACCCAATTTTTTTCTGCAACTTGATACTTGGAAAGGAAATAGGCACTGCCAGGGAATTTGTCATGCTCTGAAGGACACAATCATTATCAGCCTAACAGGATGGTCTTGCATGGCACAAACACAATTTCTTTTGGTCAAGATATAAATTCACAATTCTTTTATTATCATTTTTTTTTGTTTATCATTTTTTAAGTAATATCTTTTTCTAAATTTTTGATGTAAAGAATTATCACTTTTACATCATGATATACTCAGACTGGTGCCTAAATTCCCAAAAGGTTCTATTATTTGAATGTCTGTGCGGTATGAATTATTTTGAATGTGTGTGCAGCATAAATTATTTGAATATATGCACAGTATAAATTTACTTCTGTCATTAATTTGCAGTAAACCTCTGCATCAATATTTTTTTTCGTTTTTCTTTAAATTTAACTTCTCTTATCTTTTGTTGAATTAAACAGCAAAGAGTAAAATGCAATTAATTTTCAATTTCCTAGATTTAAAGCAAAGTCTAAAAAAGGTTTTCATAGGTTCAGCTAAAAACTTACAAAATATTAATTACTGTTTTAATTATTTAAAATGTTATTGATCAATGTTTTAAATAACAAACTCTTTTCTACTAACTCACTTGTTGCAAACTGATACTAAAAAAATACCTTGTTGTTTTTACATTGTACTGTCAAAATGTACCATCCAACTGCTCACTTAGAAAAGAACTATCTTGACTCTCTCTGTTCAAGATGTACTTATCTGGAATTGGAGAGGAAAACGTTTAAATTCCTCATTTATCAAGGCACTAATTTCATTAATAAACTAGATAATATTTTTATTTGAAGACTTGAAAATAATCAAGTAGACTCTTAACAAATGATTTTTTTTTTCAATATTATTTCAGGGTCATGTTGTATTGACAGATTTTGGTTTGTGTAAAGAGGGAATTGAAGGCATGGGTACAACTACTACATTCTGTGGCACTCCTGAGGTAAGTATAATTTTTATTTAGAATGTTACACCTCAAATTGTTATCATTACATTGATTTCTAAATGTGTCTAATGTGATGTATTAACAAAATAAACTCCAATTTAAAATAGAAAATGCTGCAATAAAGTGTATATGCATAAGTAAAAAGAAATAAGTCGCCTACAAAATTTCTTTCTGAAAGATCAAATAGTAATTTTAAACAACAGAAAAAACAAAAGTCTGTTCAATATTATTTTGTTTATCACACTATTCACCAAATATAAGCACCTGAATATTGACAAAATTTTCTTTTTTCTTAACCAAATACAGATTATTAAAAAATATGCATTTTAAAATCAACTTCATTCTTTTTCTATGTCAAAATTCTATTCGACAGTATACTATTGAAAAACGTAATCTAGAAATGGATGCTGAATTAATTCTTTAACTTAGTATTCCACATGTTAAATAAATTTAAATGTGATTGCAAAAGTTGACTACCTTCTTAAAATTTGTGCTTGATCTATTTCTATAATATTTACAAAAATGTAAAACTAAAGAAATTTCCATAAGTGATAAGAGGAATAAAATTTCTGAAAATATCACTTTATAGAATTTGTCTCAGTCTTTAATTCACTCAATTAAACACCTTCATGCCAAAATAATATACAGAAATGTAAAATAATTATTTTAATTTTTATAATTATTATTATTATTCATAGTTTATTATTTTCTCAGCTGTAAAATATTATATTCATTAAGCCTTTCAATCCAAATTTTGCACAAACAATTATTTTTTGTATATTTTTGATTAATAGGTTTACAGGATCTTAAGCATTATTCTTTTTAAATTTGATGTTATTTTGGTTCTTTTTAACACAAAGTTTTTAGAAGTGGGAGAAAAATGCCCCAACAGTATTATGTGACAAACAATTTAACGTTAACAATTGATATTAAAAGATTTTCTTTGTACATTGAATTATAAGAAAGCATAATGATACTAAAAGCCTATTTTGTTCTTGTGCTAATAACAATATCTTTGTGCTACTCCAACTGAAATGTTTATTTTGAGCATATATTTATCTCGTGTTATTCAGATTATCTTTAAACATTTGACAACATTAATGCTTAAGAGTAGTTCAAATGAATTTTTATCATCTCTTGTATAATTTTTACCTACTCTTTATTAGTATAAATCATTATCAGTATTAAATATTTTCCCTAACTATATTTCTAACGAAATAAATAAAACATGAGAGAAGAAAATGTAATTATGTATCACTTTCTTATGAAAGATTTCAATAAAATAAAAAAAAATTGTTTTTCTTTTCTACCAACATGTCATTAAAAATTTAAATCAATCCTTTTAGTTTTCCATTTCTGGATACTATCATCTTTAATTGTTTTGTCTTCTTTTTCTGTTAAAATCCTGTGTACTTAAAATTTATTTTGATCACAAATAGCTTAGAATAGAAAATATTTTGATGTGTATTTCACAATAACAGAAGATTAATATTGTAGTTTTCATTTTAAAACCTATGTTAATATTTTCTTCAGTTTAACCTCATCTTGTTTATTCAATGGAAATGAGTGTCAAAAACAACAAAAAAAAAACCTTTGAAGTTTTAATTCGCGTTGCATTTGCATAAATACCAACAAAAAGAGAGACAGGTTTTATTTTTGGAGTGAAAATGTGAAGAGAAAGCTGTTTGAAAAGTAAAAATTGGAAATGTTGAATTATTTTTGGAAATGTTGAATTATTTTTTCCTTTGTAATTATGGAAAAACATCTTATTTTTTTAATAATTGAATACTAAAGAATTCCTAAATTTAAAAAGAAAACATCAGAAAATTAGTAAGAATAAGGAAGATAAAGCAGAGCGGGGGGAGGCTCCTATTTTGCAATATAACTGAGGGTTTTTTTTGTTTGAATGCCATCAAATAATGATAGTCACCATTAATAAAAAAAGCCCATATATGCATAACAAAATAAAAACAAACTGGAAATGCAAATCATATTGTCTCAACTTGTCTTTATTGGGCAAGATATACCAAAGGGAATTGGTAGTAAATGATCTCTGCAAAAGCATTGGTATCATCAATACTGTCCAGAGTCAAGGCACAGATCAAAAACAAATACTTTTCTTGTTAATACGAAATTTTTGAGGTTAATATATATTTCTTATCTCATAAGTTTTTGCACACAAGAAATATATATTTTCATAATTTAGGGGTGGTATTCCGAACTTTTGCAATGTACTGTACTGGATCATATTTTTATTATGTATATCTAAACATCCTAATCCTCTATTGAAAATTATTTTCACAGGCTTGGTTATGATTTGTGGCTTCTGTTTAAATAAAAAAAAAGGTCTTGGACTGAATGCCTATATATAATTCACTACTTAAACATCAGGAAAAAAACTTCCTTTTTTTTTTTTTGAAAGAAATTGAAATGTAATGAAAACTGAATATTTTTCAACAATGTGAAGTGCAAGAGATCATAGGGCAAATGTACTAACTGTAAGGAATGCCTGTCTTCATCACAGAAAAGTGACGAGGATGATGCTACTGGTGGGATATAAAAGGCCGTTCTTTATTATAAACTCTTGTCAGAAAAGCAAACAATTAATTTTTATAAATATTGTCCCCAATTAGACAAATTGGAAGCAGCAATTGATTAAAAGCATCCTGAATTAATTGATAGAAAGGTCAGCCCAACCCACTTCTCAAAATCTGAAAGTATCAGAATTTTTTTTTTTTTAAATCTCTTCTTGTTCAGGCTGAGAACTTTTCAGTACCCCTTCATCGAAAAGCTATAATACTCCATCAGAATAATGGTGAACTGCACCTTCCTTGACTTAACCATCAGATTACCACTTATTCCAGTCTTTACAGAATTTTC